GGCCAGCCTAGGCCCGCTAGCCTCCGTGCCGGCCTGTGCTTGGGCCGGGAAAAAAACGGACCTTAGGTCGGGCTGACGGACTCGGGCAACCGGCCGGCCAACCAAAACCACCCACGCCGCGCCCAACCACAACAGCTCTGCTCAGCTGTACACGCACGCGCCGGCCAGGCCCCACCTCCAATTAAACAAGCCTCCCGTCCCGTCCCGTCCCCACTCCGCACCCAATAGGCAGGCAGCCAGCTCGGCGTGTCCTCGGTCTCCATCTCGGCCCAGCCGAGCCCAACCTGTCCGCCCCCTCTCAACCCTTTTCTGAAGTTTTCTCCCTCCTCCGTCCTCCCCCGAGTCCACACGGCAGAGGACGCCACCGGGGGAGCAGAGGAAGGAGGAGGGGGACCCGGCTCGGAGGGAACAGGGGAGGGAGATGGCGATCCTGTACGCGCTGGTGGCGCGCGGCACGGTGGTGCTGGCGGAGCACAGCGCGGCGGCCACCAACGCGGGCGCCATCGCGCGCCAGGTCCTCGAGCGCCTCCCCGACGGCGGCGCCGACAGCCACGTCTCCTACACGCAGGACCGCTACGTCTTCCACGCCAAGCGCACCGACGGCATCACCGCGCTCTGCATGGCCGACGACGCCGCCGGAAGTAAGCGCCTGCAGCTCCTGCCCGTCCCGTCCTCTCCCCACCCCTTCCCGGTACGATCGCACTCGCACGGGATTCCGAGTTCGATTAGGATGCCTCCGCGGTTCATTACGTGGTCCGGCGCCATAGGCCGGCGGAATAGCGGAGATCCGGGCCTTCGGGACAATAATTCGGGGTTTTGTCGTCACGCGTCCATCTGATCTGTGACTAGCACCAGGCTGCCCGCTGACCTTAGGGGATTGGTAGATCAGGATGTAGCCTGCCAAATGGCGTCTAAGGGTTGATGGGCTGGGAGCATAGGTTGAGCTCGTTTCTGGAGTTATGGGTTCGTAGCTCCGGTTTTGTAGCTGTTGACTTCGGGATTTAACTTGCTCATTGCTGCATAAATAACAATCTGTCTACTAATTCTCAACCTATAGCACTGTCTGCTGGTTCTTAGTAGGTTTGAGCTAAACTGTACTTCTTTGTTGGTAAAATCAAGAGCAGAATTGGTCTAGTTGTTTCTGAGTATCATCTTGTCCTGCTGGCTGTAAGCTTTGCAGTACAATCGCATACGGTGACTGTTTTGTACTACTAGCCACAGCCTCACATTATCAACTAGAATCTATGTCAGGAGTTCTGTATCATTGTCCACAGATATGTCTCTGTTGCGAAATGCTTAACCATGAGCTTATCAGTGTTTTTTTTTTTTTTTGCCACAGGACGTATTCCCTTTGCATTTTTGGAAGATATTCATGGGAGATTTGTCAAGACATATGGTCGGGCTGCGCTGACAGCTCTTGCATATGCAATGAATGATGAATTCTCAAGGGTCCTGAGCCAACAAATGGACTATTATTCAAATGACCCTAATGCGGATAGAATAAACCGCATGAGAGGTGGAATCAATCAGGTAATGCGCCCATTATTTCAGTTGTTTCATATATGAAGACTATCCTATATTGAAGAACATATATATTCTGAAAACCAACATTGAATGTATGCTGTGATCTCTGAGCCTATAAACTAGAACTGGAAATGCTCTTGAATGAAATGCTTGAAACCTTTGTGGAACTGCTTCTTTCCATATACTTGTTTAAACCAAACCATAAAAAAAACCACTCGTCTTGCACATTGCCATGAAAGAGTCTCACAATACAAAAGGATTTACCTATTCATTATTTTCTCGCAGGTCCGTAGTGTTATGATTGATAACATTGATAAGGTCCTTGAAAGAGGTGATCGTTTGGAACTGCTGGTTGACAAGACTGCAAATATGCAAGGAAATACAGTTCGATTCAAAAGACAAGCTCGGCGGTTCAGAAACACTACTTGGTGGAGAAATGTCAAACTCACGTATGGGATATTCTGATTTCTTGACTTAATTTAAAACACGTCGCTATCATATTTTTTCTTGCATATTGATCTCTCCTTCCTTTTTTCCTCACAAATTCTTAATTTTGCTTCTGGTTCATGAACTTTGTACTGACTTTTTTCTTTTTTTTTGCAAATGTCGTACTGACTTTTTTCACTTTCCATGGATTCTTAATTTTGCTTCTTAATACCCAACTCAATATGCAATTTTGTTGAAAAATAATCTCCTTAACTTTTAGTGTGGGATGCATGTAACCATGTACTCCATGACATTCAAGCATGGGAACTATTTCTCCTTTTTTTTGTCGTGCCAAGCAGCAACCTTTACAGTTTTGAATAATTATTATATGTGAAAGCTGGATGCCATAATCATTGGTGTGCAAGTCTTAGGCTCTTGGTATGATGCTATGATGTTTCCTCCACTGCTGTTTGAGCTTTTCGCCCGCAATAATCATATTCTATCTCTGTTTGTGCAGGGCTGCATTGATACTTCTCCTCCTGGTAATAATATATGTCGTTCTTGTGTTCATGTGCCATGGTTTCACCCTACCAACTTGCATAAGGTAAGGCATGATCTGCGCATTGTGCCTTTTGGTGTGCATGTTTGTGTATGTCCCTGTCCCCGGGAGCAGCAGCTATCGCAATACCATTGCAATTGTTTTTTGTGTAGAGGAAAGCTACAGATTATGATGTGATTGTGAAAACTCAATTAAAGATGTAAACTTCACATAAACTGCTTCTTGTGGGTTGGGCTATGGCCTTGTAGCTCTACGAGAATTTGGTGATTGGATTTGTGTTTATTTGTGGCTATTCTTGTGTCTGTACATGTATTCAGTTACGACTATATTATGGCTATGCTAATGTAATATTCTTGAATTTGACAAGATGACATACACATGGAGCTGCCATGAAAATTTCTTCCCAGCACTCCAGCAGCATGTTAGTATATATATATCTATCTGTGTGTCCATCTCCTTCCTTAGAAAATCAATGTGCAAGTGCAATGTTGCAGAATTTATTTTTCTCAGTCACATTTACATTCATGCCTGATCAGAGGTTGGACGGAAAGAATTCTGCTCCATCTTTGGATCATCGATTATGGCATAATGTTAAGGCTTTCGCTTCACATTGACAAGAACTACCACTTGTTACTTGTATTGCGCTTACCTTGCAGAGAAAACCTTGGGTCAACACTCAACAGACATAAGTGCGCCAGTGCGGTGCCTTTCAAAGAAAGCTGATTCGTGACGGCCGCGTTGAGAAACATATAAGCGTGTAATTTGTGCCGACGCGAGCCCTGCCAAACCTGGGCAGCCTGGCCAAAATTCGCGGTTGCTCATTTGCCTCTTTCCATGCCTTAGCGATTGAATTTTTTTCTTTTTTAAAAATTCTGCGGTTGCTCCTTGCCTCTTTCCATGCCTTGAGCGGTTGAGTTTTTTCTATATAACCTTACAGATGACGGTATAACATAAATAGGAATGACCAGACAGTCGATAAAGGGTTGGTTTGGGATAGGGATATGAAAGACAGTCGATGTAGGGTTTGTTTGGGATATGAAGACTGGGTTATGATTTGCTGGGTCTGGAAGATTTGCGTCTTCCAGGAATCTCGTCACTAACAATTTCGATGCTTCAATGGGCACGGACGGCAAACATCTGAACTGACGAATGGTCAAAGTCAAACACAGCTAATAAAAATGCTGTGGCCACAGCTTGCTACACAAGGCCGAGAGCGCGAAATGTGGAGCAACAGCGAAGGACAGAGCTCTGCCATCTACCGCAAGGTTGTCAAAATCGTATATCTTAAATCGAATTGGAGGACTTTGGATAAGATCATAAACATAGAGATCATATAAACATAGGCTCTACTAACTAATAAGATTGTAAAGGAGTAAAATCTTATGGTAAAATCGCGGATTTGAAGCACTATGACCTAGATGGCAAACGGACAACGATACTACTACAACGTTTTTTTTTTATAGAAACTACTACAACGTTTTAGCGTAGCTGAATCTTGTTATACACACACAGACACAGGATCATTGTAATTTGGATATTTTCCTTTGCTTCCTACCCTACTTCTCCACCATTTCCTCTTCATCGATGACCTCCATTTCGTCGTTCACATAGCCCAAGTCCTTGTACTGATCAATGAGGGCCCTCGTACTCGCGTACCTAAGAGCAAGGGCATTGTCATCATCAGTCGAGTCGATGAGATCCTGCACCACCTTGTTCCTCTTCCTCTTCTCCCCGATCCCGGCCGTGGGCTTCACCTCGAACACGACATCCAACGCCGCCTGCGCCGCCTTCTTCCTCTTCAGGATCTCATCCCCTCAGACGCGCTTGCCTCCATCTTCTTCCCGGCCTCAGCCGCCTGGCCCTCCACCGCGAGGTTCGAGTTCGACGCACTCGCCTCCTCCATCTCGAGGCCACGGTCACCGACACCGGCCCCTATCGCCCACGATCGAGCCCTCACTGCTCCCTCTCCAAACACAGCCTACCACCCACGCCACGCGGCTTTTGCGTTTCAGTTGAATCCGCCACCCACGTTGCCGCGGCGCACATGGCCTTGTCATGCATGGCAACCACGACCACGAACAGCCGCCGTGGGCTGCCAATCGACAGCAGAGCATAAACAAGGCATAAGATCACGGATAGCACACCTCTATCCCTCTCATCAGGGACCAGGATTATCTTATAAGCACATTCCAAGCAGAACAACAATCACGCAGAAGCAAGAGTCCTTTCTCTCCCTATCTGACACACATGTAGCAATTATGGGATAACTCGTCTGTCCTGCAAACACAGGTCTCAAATAGTAACATACAACTACAACACAAGGTTCACGACCACTCCGTTCTTACAACTTACCGTAGAAATTTACCCTAACAACAAACGAGAGGCATGGTAGCAACACTAAACCCAAACAAGGGCAGCTCAAGGTGTGATTTCAGACACACTGGTGGATAGTGTCCTCCCAGGTTGTGCATCAAGAGTTATGGTCACAGCATCACAGCTGTTTCATTGATTCCCCAGGATCATGCTGAAGTATGGGTGGCTCTGCGTAGGCTTCCGACCTGTTGACGTTGCGGTCAGCTTCTTCACCGCCCAAAGCAGAAGCGCTGAAAGTCTCGGCAGATTCGCTTGAAAAGTCATTGACGAAACTTGTCCTGGACTCTGCGTTTGTTCCGGGAAGATCAGCTACCTGAGGAACAGATATCCCACTCTTGCTTCCACAGCCTTCAGATGAGACTGCAAAGGAGTCCACTGAATTGGAGTTGCTTTGGAGATTTTGGTGTTGTCCCTCCTCTTTAAGCAGCATGACTTCGCTGCATACCTGATCATTAGTAGGTGCACAACTGCGACTTCCATCACCTGATAAAGTGTCTTTAGAACCAGTCACCAAATACAAAGTTTCATCATCTTTCTCATCGCAAGAGTTCTTGTGTTCACTTCCTCCATCCCCACTACCTGTGTCCACAGTGGTACATTCCAGAACAGTCGAAGTATCACCGCAACAGCTGTGGTAAGGTTCGTCATGAGGGAGCATAACGGTATCTTGGTGACCTGTAGACACATGTTCTGAAGTTTTATCAAATAAGAAATTCTTTTTTGCACTGTCTCCATGCAGTGGTGGGAAGTTGTTAAGAGGTCCACAACCTTCACGATCTGACACAGCATCGCTAGGGACTACTTCATGATAGTTTTTAACAACATGGCATACCTCTTCCCTATAACCAGAATACAAACTCGTAACCTGATTTCCACAGTCTGTATCGGACTTAGGAGACATTACTTCAGGGATTTCTGGAATCAGCACTTCATCATCATGAACTACTTCAGAACAGCTCAGCACATTTGGGGTTTGTTTCTGCAGCAAGGGCATTTCAGTTTCCAGATGACAAGAGGTAGCAAGCCTATCACTCTCATCGGAAGGCAAAATCTTCTTGTTTTCACAATCTTCATCATGGCCAGGCAAGAAATCCATGGTTTCAGATTTTCCCAGGAGCAATATTTTATCACCATTAACCACTCTATAGCAGCTCCTAATGCTCTGTGTTTCTTTCTGCTGGAAGGATGTTCCAGTGCCCAAATAATCAGCAGCCACGTGACTCTGAGTTTCATCACTCAATAAACTTTTCCTAACTCCAAAACTCTGCTCAGCCAACGTCTCCATAGTTTTAGAACCTTCAAGAATCAATGATGAATCACATGTGACATCTTCACTGTATTCAAAGCAGCCTTGAAAGCTTTGCTGTTGTTCATCTTGCAGGAGCACCTTGGCGTCAAGATAGGGTATAGCCAACTGAGTATGTGTGTCCTTAGATGACAAAGTGATGCTCTTTTCTTTAAAGTTTTCATCAGGTACTGCAAGCATAGCCATGGTTTTGGTGCCTTTAGGAATCAATGCAGTGTCACTTGGATACTCTTGATGGAAGGATGCTGTTGCTTGCCTCTTCTTCTTCTTCCTTCCTTCTCCCTCAACATCATCACTGCAAACCACCTTAGCATGCTGCTTACAATTCAAGAAAGGGGTTCTCATTTCTTTAACATTGTCCGCATTGCAGTCAGGTACTCCAGCAAATACTGTGGGCATATTTAATCCTTTGTCACAGGAGACTACCAATTTTGGACAACCTTGAGGAACAAATGACTTTTTACAAGTGTTGTATCTGGCAGGTTGTTTGCTAGATACACCCCGTTTATTTCCATCCTCACATGGAAATGGAACCAGGCCTGTCTGAATTCCGCTCTGCTCTCCCACAGAAGACTTGGTGGATCTTCTCCAGACAAATGAACGATTAGATGCTGGAGCTCTGTTCAGCCCATCAGCTGAAGGCATATCCGGCATTCCATCATTACGACATGGAAATGGCCTGTTATGCTGTGCCTTCCGTTGTTTTTTCCTCTGGGAAAGGGCATTGCTAAACTCAGCACTCCTTGGTGGAAATGCTTCGGTCTTGAACCTTTTTCTATGGTTGTAGATTTCATTCTTTCTCACTAACCGAGAAAACACACTTGTTCGCCCTTCACTGTCAGCACGGAGTTTGGAATCTAAGATGGGTGGATAGCATTCATCTTCTTTCCTAATACAAACTTGGTGGAAAGTAGTATGGTTCTCAGAGTCACTGCTACCCTTAGATTCAGAAGAGTGGTTCTCATCTTTTAGCAACGCAAATAGATCATCAACACCTTCAAAAGTATCTTCCTCCTGGGGAAGAGGTATATAGTCATCAGTAGATTGGTCATGCATTGCTTCTTGGTTGCCAGGTATGGTGGCAGAGGCCATATCTGCTCCAGATTGCAGCGGAGATTTTGATCTCTTGGACTTAGCCACATCAGAGATGTCTGATTGTATGCCTCTGTGCACTAATGCCACGGGATCAGTTAATTTTTCACCCAGCAATGCTGTATGCTCCCCAAGAGTGGTGGAGGAACATGTTTGACAGGTGCTTCTGAATGAACCACATGAACTGCTGTTTGGGCTGGACTGCACATCAGTTACTTTAGCCAGAGAAGAAGTCTCAAGGTCCCCTGGGAGATCATCTTGTAATCTTGGATTCTGAGGAAGCTGCAACCTGTTCTGTGAAGAAAACAAATGGAGAAGCTTTGCAACCTGTATAACAGAAGCACCCTGAGGTCAGTAGCTAAGCATATTGCTTTCTTTAAAAGCAGGGTTTTTCCTCCATAAAAAATAAATAAATAGCTAAGCATATTGACAGAACACCAGAAAATTGTGGAGCAGACCTGTTGGTGTGACAAACCATAACTAAACTTGTTTTTAACAGAATAGTTCTGAACAGCATCTTGAAGTTCACTAAGCATCAAAGGCTTGCAAAACCAAATCCTCTTAAAACGTATCTGGATTCAGTGAATCAGAACATGAATAGAATTATTATGACATAATATCTCAGGAAGAGCGGTATGAGAATTATCAGGAATATTGTATCATGGGAAAACTACAAAATTAGTTGGGAAACGTAAAATATAGGGAAGGAGGTGTTTCAAGTGGGTTATCATAATTCATGACTCCTAGTAAATTTACATGGTAGCACTGGAGTAGATGACCTATAAGACAGTACTTAGTATTTAGTAAATCTCAAAAGTATTCATGCCTGAGAAGGATACCCCTTTCCTGATGTGACATATGCAACAGGAATAATGTTCACAGCCCCATCTGAAGTTGCTTCGAAAACACCATGAAGCTTACACTGATCAACATCATATAAGAATAAAGTTGTGCCAGCTTTAACTTTCTCTACAAAATCAGCACAGAAACGAGGGAGGCCAAAAATTTTCTTGTCAAAGCACTCCTTCCTGGTCAGATGGTTGCACAGAAAAACTGCACCACCAAAGGTTGCACACTCTTTACTCTGTGCCTTCACCATTCCAAAATCCACTGAATTCCTTGATAACATGAAGATTGACAATGAAAACGATAAGAAAATCAATAATTACACTAAAAACAAGAAGAATAGCACATGCTTCTTTGGCTGCTGCAGATATTACAAGAAAGAATTGCAAAAAAAATATAATTAATATATAAAACAACAAGGGGCGATAAGCCTATCATGTCCAGGTTCTTTTTTCTTCTCTTAGCAAGTGCCACAGGGAGGCACAACCTTATATTTCATTGATAAAACAGTTTACAGTTTTGACAAGGTTTTCAACAAGGGGTGATACGAACATGCCTTAGAACGTTTTTCAATAAGAGGAGAAAGCAAGGAACAAGTTACACACTACCAACGGGTAAGCCTAGGCTAACCATGGAGCACCAACCACACATAACAAAGGTTTATATTTGACACAAATAATTGGCAACCACATGAAGCTAAACCACCCAACAAGAACTAAGAGATCCATAGAAGATGAGTGAGTGACTGCAATTGCTGTGTGCTGTTGTGAAATTCTCCAGGTCTGTTAAGCGTAGATCTTTATCTCGAGAACTACCAAGTTCAAACAAGATAAAGGAACACAAGCGATCAATAACTGGATATATCTGGTTCCAATTTTACTTGCAAGAAAAACTGCATGGAAAACCTTTAAAAGTTAAAACACCATAGTCCACAGATGTGCACACAATTGCCCTTGCCTTTGCTGTTCCCTTCCATAGTCCCCCACAAAGAGGAACAATCCAACAATATTCCAAGGAACCGCAATTCTTAGAAAACATGTACAGCTCGAAACGAACTGTAATTAATAGGGGCGGGTTTTTGCCGTGCTGCATGGGGGGTTTGGTGGAATCACAAACATTTTCGCAAAGTAAACTTTACCCGCACCAAGAGTTCTCAGACCTATGACACGAATCTAGACCGATCGATCCTGCGCGCGCTGATGAGGGAGAAGCGCCAATCAAACAGGATCAGACCCAAGGATGGATGATCAGACCAGCACTCTACTACGCAGCAAACAAATCCACTACTAACTGATGGACTAAAGAAAGCTTCGGATTTGGTTTCTCGGAGAAGCTAAAACAAACCGCAGAAAACGAGGAACTTCTCGCAAAATTCATCCGGAAGCACGGAGGCAAGGTAGGGTTCCTTACCACCTAGTACCAACGGAAGGAATCGATCAATGCTGCTTGCCGCATCCGGATGGGCTCGCCGCCCCGCGCCAACCCAGTATCAGCAGAGGGTGCGGGGGGAGGAGGACGTCGACAACTACTCCGAGCGCAAGGTGGCCGGCGTGGGGGTGGTTTCGTGCTTTCGGCGCGGCGGCGTAGTGGGTGCTGGGGCTAACGCGGAGAGGGCGGTGGTGGTGGCCGTTGGGCGTGAGCGAGTGCCTCGAGGTTGAGTGCTGGGCCGTGGTTGTCACACTTTCATTTCTTCAGAGTAAATACGGTGTTTGTAAATAAATCATCTGCATAGTAAAATACTAGAGGCATAGCCGCGCGTTGCTGCAGAAATTTAAGAATAAATTAGAATAAAATTAGATTAAATTGCTCATTTGATGGAATAAACTATTATAAATTAATGTTAGTGAATGATGTGGCATACTAATGACGATAATTAAATGTATTTGATAGTGGGATGCTAAGGTGGATTGCTTGCTAAGGTGAATTCCCCGCGCGTTACTGTGGGAATTTGAGAAGTACCCTTAGATGGTTATTGGATGAATAAAACAAAATTGTTCAAAGAAATTATGGATTGAAATATATATTATGCTTGGGTGAATTTCATTTCTCAAGTGAAAACTCCACAAGTTGCTGATATTGAACTAATTTTTCGTGCCAGTTATGTAAGAACTCATAGTGTTAGAACTATCCTAGTTAAACACTTTTTCTGGACTTCAACATAGTCATGAAGAGAAGATAACAGTAATCCACTAAGGTAGACCATCCTTTCTCGTGTAGAAATACCAATCAACTTAGAAAAATGGTGTGCACCATGCGGGTCAGTGAATAATAATTTTACAGCAACATATAAAGATCTTTAGACAAAGAAGATTAACCTATTGCCACGTAGTCAAGGCATCGCACTTGCAAAGCAGCATAGTGTCAAGTCCCGTACATCTCCATCTGAGATCCTTCTGATGTACAAATGAAATCAACAGCATCAGATCAGTGATTTGTTTAATGAGCGAGAATTGAGAGGAAGGCTTACCGGGGTGGTAGTTATCCACAATAATGGACGTGGATGGTCACTGTTGCTGCTAGCTGAGTTCTTGGCTCCGAGGACATCAGCTCACATGTACGTCCTCTTCACTCGGCTTATAAGACGTATTTTTTAGTCAATGAATATTATTTTTCTCTCAAAATAAATCATTCAATGGTATTTTTAACCATGCCTTATCAGTCAAATGAACAGGGCAATAAAGGGACACAGATGCAGCAGCAAGAAATTAGACGGTGACCATTGCAGCGGTAAGCAGATGATGATGACGATTAGCCGAAGATGGCGGTACTAAATACTTTAAGGGCCTGTTTGGAACGTAGGAATAAAAAACGTAGGAATAGAAAAAAAAACGCAGGAATGGGGTGAGTGTGTAGTGGTAAAACATAGTGGAAAGGAAAAACGCGGGAAATAACTAGAAGGGGTGTTTTGAACGCAGGAATCCATAACACAGGAAAAACGTAGGAATCACATGTCTCTTTTCCTCTTCCTGTTGCTATAGCACGGATAAGCTCCACTATTTTCTCTTCATTAGCACAAGATCAACGACAGAGGGTGAGTTGTTATGTCGGTCTTCGTGAAGGAAGAAAATCCATGAGAACTGATTGGATTCTTTTTTTCCTGTGTTTTATTCATACAAGGGAGCTGTTCTTTGGGAATGGAAGTTGCAATTCCTTTGTTCCAAACGACAAACTGTAAAGCCTTTTCACAGGAATAAATTCCTCTATATTTCCTTTGAAAATCCTTTAATCCAAATAGAGCCTAAGCTATTGAACTCGCTACCTCGAGACTCGAGATGATGGCCTACTGTGTTCCCATTCAATCTGGATGGAGTGTGTCAGTTTCAGTTTTGTAAAGGTGTTATAATGTTTTTTTTTCTCACAACAAATCAGCGAACAATATTTTTCAATTTAACTTTTTAGCGAAACGAACAAAGCCTTAGTCGGTGCGTCAGTTTCGATCAGTTTTGTGCAGGAACCGATTGGACTATGGGTGTGCGTTCGTGCCTCTTCGTGAGGTCTGTAATGGCTGGGCGCAATTATGGAAAGGATAGGCTCTTGATGGGCATTTTTGTAGCACTACCATCAGTTACTAAAGCTAGAGAGGAAGTAAAAGGAGCGGGGCTATACATTGCACAAACAATTAACGGTCAGGATGGAGATGGCTGCTGAAAATTGAATGGCTAAAACAATGGTGATGACGTGGCACAACGTGGAAACAGAGAAATAGCATTAGTGAGGTTTTATTTTATAAGAGACATAGATATAGATATGGATATGGATGAAGGGCGGGCCTGGTGCAAACGGTAGAGTCTTACCGTCTGTGACCGGAAGGTCTCGGGTTCGAGTCGTGGTCTCCTCGCATGGCACAGGCGAGGGTAAGGCTTCCCACTGACACCCTTCTCCAGACCCCGCACAGAGCGAGAGCTCTCTGCACTGGGTACGCCCTTTATAGATATAGATATGGATATGGAATATGGAATAAACTATTATAAATCAATGGTAGTGGATGACGTGGCATACTAATGATTGCAATTAAATACATGTGACAGTGGGCTGCTGAGTGGGTTGCTTGCATGTTGAGATAGAATGGCTAGTGAGGTTTAGATTATAAGATATATAGATATAGATATAGATATAAAAATTATTATTAATAATAATATCAATCAGATGTCTTTCCTAAAAAAAAAGTAGCAGTTTGGAAATAAATACTATATTTTTTTTATGCATACAGTGGGATATTTTGTTGAGAGTATATGAATAAGGAAATGACCGTGGCACATGTGTATGTAAAATCTTGGAACTGGATGGCATTCTTATGTCTTGGTTTTAGTTGTTCTACCACTTATATGCTATATGCCCATATGTCAATATGTGTCAAACTGTCTTGGACCAAATTCTAATTTTGACGGCAGAGATTATCTTGCATGGAGGCAACATGAGGCTGTAGAGGCTGTTTGGTTGTGTCATGAATCCCAAGCGTCCTCGATTGCCCGGGATAAAGATCGTTGCCTGGTCGGCGAGCTGCCGAGGCACGATACAAGTTGGTCCGTACATGAACATCTGAAGGACAAAGCCTTCACATCTGAGCGTAACAAGCTAGCCATGGATCATTTTATCCATATCTGAACATTAACACGAGAACAATGGCAGTAAATCAACAATCAATTTCACTGAAAAGAATATTCCCGGACAGTCTCCAAGTAATGGAGATAGTAATCTTATCAACAAAGTGCCCACAGAATCTCAGCCAAACATAAGTTAGAAGCATATTAAGACCGCCTTACAGAATCATAGCTCAGAACACCGAATTTAGGTCTCAATGTAACCAACTGAAAGATAACAATGCGATGATTGAAACAGCCTATTTACAGCAGCTCAGGTACTGCGAGACAAAAGCATAATGGAACCATCCTAAGCTATGCTACTCGTGGAGTTATCAACAGAAATTCCACCAAGGCCAAAAAGCAATTCTACCAGAAATTTCACCGAGGCAAAAAGCGTTAGTGCTACGTGCTGTCATCATCAGCTCCTATCTTGCTACCTGGCTAAAATGTGATCTTCTGCCTCCATTCCTCATCAGAAAGAAGTGTGCATGCCTGATCGAGTCACCTGTGAACTGCTATTTCTGGAGTGCCACTGGGCATGCTGATTACTGTATCGTTCTGCAAATGAAGGTCTCGTTAGCTTACTCCTCTTTGCTGAAGCATCTCTCTCACTCTGAATACCTCGGGCCAAAAAGCCAATGTGTTCCTTCCTTTCTTTCAAAACTGCTTCTCTGTTCTGTTGTATTCCAGCAAGTGTAGGTATGCATGATGATTTATCAGAAGTATCAGAAATCCCATTGCCACCAAAGCTAAATGATACCATTTTTGCCAAACTGCAAGCTCTCGTTGGGGGTAAGACATCTGAGAGTTCAAGTTGAATGGTTCCCTTTTGTTTGCACCCCTTGGCCTGCAACTCTGATTCGCTCCCTTTCATAATGTGCAGAGTTACATTGTTCTGACCAGTTTCACTTTCAGAAACGAACCTTTGGTTCAGCACAGGTGAACAACACCTATCATCCTCAGTGTGTTTTCCATTAAATGGTTTGGGAACTTGATCTTCACAACTGATGTTACTCTCCATTGTTGAATGGAAGCTTACAGTCCCCATCAAAGCTGACTGATTTCCATCACTGTCAGAGTTGCAATCATCTAGCTCAAGCGGTATATAATCAGCATCGTCTGGCTTGTTTTTTTCTATGATATCTGGCGACTTGAAGACCACAGGCTTAGGGCAAGGGTGTAGAGGGGACTCATGTTTATGAGCAGGATGCTGGCCATTGTATTTGGCATGCATGAATGGAATGTGTGGTAAAGAGATTCTGTTGTTGCAGAACATAGAAGGCGGACGACTAAAACCATTGCTATGAGTGTATAACCTGAATTCTCGACCAGTACGAGCCAGAGAGATTTTGTAGTCCCATAAAACTTTTGATTTTGGTTTTTGGTAGGGTTGAAGCCTGATCATTCTTGAAGAAAATAAGTCCACAAGATTCAGAACCTGTACATGACAAAATCCTAAGGTCAGTAGCAAGTAATTTCTAATTAACGGCAATAGCTGAATTACATCACACATAAGAAACAGCGAACCTGTTGGTATGATATACCAAAGAAGGACCTTTGAGGCTGGAGACAATATCCTTTAATGGCATCAGAAAATTCAGCTTCAGTTAGGGGCTTACAAAACCAAACTCTTCTGAAAAGAACCTGAATTTCAGAGACCAGGTATGCAAAATAAAAGAAACCTTTATCAGAATGTTCACACATGATAAACCAAAACAAAGCAACAACTAAGTCAATGGTTCACAAAAAAAAAAGATTCATAGAAAGGTAACATGAAGCAATGAATAATTGGGCCTGCCAAAGAACATGAAGCACTAGACTGGTAAAACCATGAGAAAAAAGCCAAAAGCAAAAGTAAAAGAATACTTACCTGAGCTGGTCGAAGCTTGCACAATGAAGCACATGCATCAGGAAGAATGTTCAGTGCTCCATCTGAAGTTGCCTCAAACACTCCATAGAGTTTTCTCTCCTCATGCTCAAACAGAAAGAGAAGCATACCAGCTCTGATCTTCTTTATAAAAGTTGCAGCATAACCAGGTAGGGCAAAATGTTTCTGTTCGAAGAATTGCCGCTTAATCTCATGATTGCAGATGATAACTGCACCACCATATACTCCAGGATTGTTAGAGATGTCTGATTTTTGGTGCCGCTGATTCCTTCAAAATGAAAGAAAAGACAAGAATAGTACATAAACACAGCATTCAAAGATGAAATACAAGTCCCCATGCTAATAATGGTGGCATTGTATACTACAGGTTCGTTAAAGGTGTTTCATTTTTGCATTGCAGATTCCATTAAAATGGTAGAAACGATAGTAATATGCAAAGAAGACATTCGGTAGCTAACTTCTGAAGATTTGGCAGTGACTGAACTCATAGTAAGTCTTGACATTTTCAATCATGCTAACAATGATCAAGATCTACACGTACACCAACAATGACAGAATTATAACAAGGTAAAAGCACAACATTACTACGGACACCAAAAATTGGTTAGCCTTCTCCATTGCAAAAAACAGTTCGATGCAGCCTCTCTGCAAATGCAGCGGTAAGGCTTGCCTCGGTTATTCCTTCCCCAGAGCCCACTCATGTGGGAGCCACCAGCACTGGGTCTGTCCTTTTTTTTCCTCCATTGCAAGAAACAGTTCAATAATGCTAACAGAACAAGCATAGATCAGATAATAAAAGCTTCCAAAATTCCAAAACCATGGATGTACAAAGAAAGCAATCATGAACACTGAACAGCTACTATAACTGGGGGAACAATGGGCAATCTGCTATGTAGTATTTCTTGTAGAGCTGGAACCAAACATGCATCATCCTGAATACGTAATAACAACAGCAAAATCATCCATATAACAGGAACTCGGATTGAACCCTCAAGGCCCCTAAACCAGGTGTTATCCTCTCTTCCATAATTGTACCAAGAAACTTATGTATAAAAAACCACACATGCATCTGAAACAAGTATGTGTTGTTAGAATTTGCAACAAAGCATTGGTACCCTACAGGCAACATCTCATGCCCATGGCACAGGTACCAAAAAAAAGCATTAACAGCCCACCGCTGCACTATGTAGTGAAGGGGATCGCCCTAAACCCCACCACATTCACATCCTGGTAGCAAGAACCATGGGCGGAGCCAAGGCCCAGCCACCCTGGGCCGGTGCCCGGGCTCCCCCGCTGGCTCCGCATTGACATCTCACTGACCCAGTAAAAGACGCACCATGCCAATTAGTTTAAGCTAGTATATGGCCAGTTCGGTCATCATAAATAGCTATCATACAGACTTCCCTCGAAGCAAAAAAGAAGAAGAAGCTACGTACAGACCCTACTAAAAAAAGAAAAGCTACATACAGAGATGAGGTAGTACAGAGATGAGGTAGGGAGCAGGCGTCACCTAGGACTTAGTGATTATTTTAGTTTAAAACTTAAAACTATTTTGGTTGTCTAATTTTGCTTCTATATTATATAATTATGTGTCCTATTTTACATAGCTTTGTTAGAGCACTAACAATACTAAAAACCATAGATAATTTCTATGTCTATTAATTTAGTAGACAGTATACATAGAAACTACTCCCTCCGTCTTACAAAGAATATCATTTTTACTTCCTGAGAAGTAAAACTTTTTTAACTTTGACAATTATATATAAAAGAATATTAATATTTATAATACATAATTGGTATCATTAGATAAATCTCGGAATATATTTTCATAATACATTTATTTAGTAATACAAATGTTGCTAATATTTTCTCACTCGTCTACCTATCACAACTCTTCATGTCTTAGCTCCCGTGTAGACATAGTTTCTTATTCAGAAATAATTTCATTCTCTCTTTTAATTGTAGTGTCACATCATCTTTTTACTTAGTTGATATCCTAATTAATGAACATAGAAACCATGTGGTTTCTGCGTTGGGGTGACCTTACTACTAGCATGGCGTTCTGTCTCCGCCCAGGCTCCATAAAATTCCTAGCTCCGCCACTGGCAAGAACTAAGAAGCAATTAAACAAGGTGAAATGCCAACAATTTTTCCCCAGCAAGAACAGGCAAGAAATGCATCATCAGTAAAGAATCGCACACCAAGCACAACTACACGTATCACCAAGAACCCTAACCAAACATGGCCAAGACCGTGTTAGATGCAAGGACCGAGGAGAAGGCAGGGATGAGGCAATTACACGGAGCCGTACCAAGGGTGGCGCTGAAACTGAAACCCTCCTCTCCCGCCTTCCCTCCCGCTCCAGCCTCCGCCTCTCGGCCTCCAGAACGGGCGGTGCCCCGCCTCGAACGGCTGCCTCTGGTGCCCCTGCATCTGCATCCTCCAGTTCCGACCGATCGCTCCGCCCTTCTCCCACTTGTACACGTCTCCCCCGCCCCCGTCCTCCGCCTCCTCCTCCGCTTCCACGCCTCCCCTCCAGACCTTACCCTCCCCTCTGGCTTCCTTCTCCACCTCCATCGTCTCGGTGCGCCTTGCCGCCTCCCGCTCCTTCCGCCGCCATTCCTCCGCCGCCGAATCCATCTCCATCGCCGTCTCCCTCCCTCGGTGCGTTCGCGTTCGCGCGTGTTAAAGCAAAGCGAGCCGCTTTGCGGAGTGGTGGTTTAGGGGAGAGTGCGCGTGTCTGAGAAGAAAAAATGGACTGGTTAATCAATTGGGTCCGACTAAAAGATAGCGAAGTTGCGATCACGGCCCAAACTCCATACTGGGCTACAGCTACAAGCATATTCCTTTTTCTAGCGCCATTTTCCTATCGGACCTATTTTTCTTAATTATTTATTAGACCCTTCTTGTTCCACTGATAAAATTGACCCTTTTAATGTGAGTGTCCAAAATTTGTAATAAATGATAAGAATGCTAGCTTCAACTAAGACACTCTATTTATATGCGCATAAACAACATAAATTTAACCCATTTATCAGCTAAAAAAACATCATTCTTATTCTTATACCCCTTTTGGAACTTAGGAAATTCACAAAAATCATATAGAAATGGAATGATCTATTGAGTGGGTGGTACTCATCCATCCAACCTCAAATTACATCAGCTACTCATCCAGTCGTGCTACCCCATGTAAATGGAAGATCCACTGATCGAAAAGGATGTTGTTGGAAGAATTAACATTTCCTCTTGCTGCTGAGTACAGAAGTACTATTCACACTCTGTTTGGGCAACATTTACAGGTATGGAGAATTACAGACGATGAAAAAGACCATGGAAGGTTCTGTTTAAGCTCTAGATACACAGATCACTTTGTAGCTGATGTAGCCATCAATAACATCCAACTCATCGCATATGGTGCCTGAAAGAGCAGACTGAAGTTTAGTGCATCAAGTAATTCGAAATGGAATGAATCGTCCAAGCTGAAGGAAGATGCTCTCACCTCAGTATTTCTTTTGTCCTGCGACGAACTTTGCAGCGGATGGTCAGGAGACCAAGGCGCTGGTGAGCCTCATAGCGGTGGCATCCAGAGAAGCCTGAAGATCACACAGGAGAATATTCAGCGCAGGGAAAATGGATCTGGACCTCCAAATACTGAGAGCATGAGTGACAAATTGGTTCTGGAATCTTGGACTACCCACCATAGTAGACCCCATCGACCTCCAGCACATCAATCTGCATTAGTGAAGAAACTGAGCCAAGTAAGAATCATTGCAGCCAGAAAGTCCAGCAATGTGCTCCATAATGTTGCTCAGCTGTCAGCTGTAGGAAACAGATGTCTACAGATCCTAGCAAAGCTCAATCTAATTAAATTGGTGTTTTTCTGCTCTTTGTGAGCTTATAAGAGTTTAAATGCATAGATTTTTTTTCATCATTAATAATGCATTTTTTCATTATGTGTCCCATTTTCCAGATAACTGTGATGAAAAATAAATGCGAACAGCTCTTATTGGATCAACAGGAACAGATGGTCATACTTATCTCATGTTGTATCTATATAGTTCCAAACAATAAAGAACATTTTTGAAAAAAAATTACATCCACACATATTTAAGAGAACTGATAACTATGGCATAATGTCATATCATGAAGGGAGTACATATTAACATGAACTTCAATGAAACATTGGGTACATAAAAATCTGCTTTTCTTGTGAAAAAAAAACATATTCTTTGTGATTCAATGAATTCAGTAATGTGGAACATGTATATGCATTGGCTCAGAATATAATCACAAGTTGATTCATACGTGTTATTCCTAAGAAGAGTGCCCAATTCTGATAGAAAACCCATCTAGGTAGATCAGGACTAACTAATAATTGTACTCGTGGATGAAGAAATATAAAAGGAAAAGATACAGATATAGATACCCACAGGTACTTGGAGGCCGATGACACGGATACTGTCCATGAGTTCTTGCACCTTGACTCGATCATTGGCACGTGTTCGCATCAGTGGCCTCCGGATTTGATCCAGTGGAATTTCCATTATCACCGGGCCCTTCTTCTCCGAGTCAGTTGTCAGGGATGGCACTGCTGCACCTGCATCGTGAAAATTTAGACCCGCTTATACATTCATCACCATGAACTCCACTGGTAATCATTTCCCACTTCCCACAAGAGAAAAGAAACCGATTTGGAGATTTACACCCACAGGGAGACATACGTTAGCATGCTGAAACAGTTGGTGTGCCAACATATGTCGCGTGTCCAGGGAAATTAAGAAGTGAAATTAGTATCTCTGTATCAGGAGACATGTGTTCTGCAAAAAACTCATTCTCTGACCTTTTTTTTTCTTAATTTCTTTGTAGCTACTTCTGTATCAGGTAGTGTGGATTTGCTGAAAAAACTAAAATGAACTTCCAATGAGTTTGAAGCGACCTATGGAATCAAGAACCCACAATTTATTTTCTTGAATGAATCAACACACATGGGCACGCCTGCGCAGTGCACACCCTAGAGACTACAGAAAGGAAGGATACAGTGTTTGATCAAGATTAAATTCTCTACATCAATTCTTCAGCTCAAGATATACCAACTTCGTGGACTGAACTCAAGCACATACACTGATACACTCCACTAATTCAAAAAATAGAACCTATTTCAGTACAAGAAGGGATCGAACAAAGGGGATCATGCGGGTACCGTTAGAGACGGAAGCGGAGAGCGCCAGACTCCTGCTCCTCCCGCTCGCGCTCCTTCCCCTTCCTCGAGCGAAGGAGGCGTATGGGACCGCGCTGCGGGGGAGGAGGACGCCGGGGCCCATCGCCAAATCCATGGTCGAACTCGACGCCATTGCTGCAGTGCTGCTGCCCGGTTTGTTGCCTGACCCCGCCGAGAGGCCGTAGCGTGTCGGAGTGTCGCGTCGATGTGTACCACAAGAGTCCCCTGGGCTAGACGTTAGAGCAAGGGTTTTTTTTTAATCGAAGCCATTACAATTCTTCAAAGTTGGAGAAATGCCATTACAATTCGAGTATTCTGAAATATGCAATTATAATTCTAGGTGTTACTGGTGCTGGCCATTGTCTATGTATGTGAACAGCTCGGGCCCACTGTCAGGTCGAGGAAGGCGTATGTGACTTCCGTATGGACATCGATGCCCTTCTTGCGTGTTACAAGCCGCCACGCCCTCTCTCCCGTTCATTCCACCCCCCACCCGTGCTCCTCTCCGTCTTCCTCTTTCTTTCCCTAAGAACCCTAACCCTAGACTATAGTCGCCGACGGCGACCTGCTGTTGCTGCTACGACGGCGACCTGCGCTCATCCTTCTCCATTCCCCTCCTCCAAGAACCCCAACCCTATAATCTAGCCAGCATCCAACCCCCCGCCTTAGCCGACGTCGCAGCCCACGGCGGAGCAGTCTGGCACGGCCACCGCCGGTTCGATGGCGGCGCCCAACTTTGAAGCCATGGCCGGGAAGTGGAGTCGCAGCACCACGAAGGCAACTTCCAGTAGCTCGAGCTCGACGACCAACGGTAGAAGGGCGTGCCCCTTTTGCCATGTTGCTTTGGTCCGCATCCAGAGCAAGCAACCGGTGAAAAAGGGCGAGCGGTACCTCAAGTGCCCGTACAACATCAAGGTTATGATTTTTGATATTGTTGTGCTCGTTGTGTGTTGATTCATCTCTGATTTATGCCCTTTGTTTCGATTGCAGGATGATGATAGTACCTGCCCATACATCCGCTCTGTGAAGGAGTATATGGCCTTGGAAATAGAGGAACGGAGGGTGCAGTCAGTGAAGGATGCAGCTGGTGTTTGTTGCACCGATTTAAAGGAAGAATTGGAACTGGTGAAGCAAACACTGGATAGTGTTGTAGCAGAGGTTTGAAAAATAAAGATGCTACATGTTGAGGTGATGCCTGTAGTGAAGCCTGAAGTCGACAACAAGAACATGCCTGCAGTGAAGCCTAAAGTCGACAACAAGATCATGCAGATTTTGGTTGATTCTTCTTTTCTAGCCGCTGTCTTTGTAGGATTTGTCGGTGTTCTGCTTGGTTTGCTTGTGGCTGCAATGTGGAAGTGAACTGATTGTAGCAGTTTCTGTTAGGAAGGAGTGTGTGTGGCTGTATGTTTCCATAATTGTAACGAAATGAACGTATGGTACGAATTGAAATGGGTACCAAATATCTGATGAAATGAGAATTAGTGATCGCTCAGCTTGTGTATCTCCGTGTGCTTGAGCTTGAACTAGGATCTGAGGCTGCGCCTGTACTTGTGCTTGCGCATGAGCCTGTGCCATGGCCTCTGCTTCAGCTTGGGCTTGACTCTGCTGTTGCTTCAGCAAGATGTTGCTGCTGTTTTTTTGCTGCATACCAATCTCCTGATAGCAGTTCATCAATTTTGTTTCTAATTTCTCAATATAATACCTGTCCTTCTGGCATGCCGAAGAGGCTGCATTTTTGTCGAGCTGTACTTTCTGCATTAACAATATTATGAACTCAACCAAATAGTTGAACAAATTAATGATACAATTTTACCTTTTTCTTACATTATTCAAATGTGAAACACCTTAAATTATTACATACAGGAACTATAAGATCATGGGTACCTCTTTATTCTTTTCTTTTCTATGAAGAACCTTTGCACCATTAGCAGGGTAATGGCCGTTGGAGCTACTAGACATCTGCAGCAGCAAAAAACCGCAAGCCCCTGAGAAGTATACAGAAAAATGGCATGGCTAAGCTAAAATGACGTCTAGACCATTAGCAGGATAGTGGCCGTTGAAGCTACTAGGCATCTGCAGCAGCAAAAAACCACAAGCCACTGAGAATTATAGACAAAGAGGATGCTAAGCTAAAATGGCTTGACTCTGCCATGGCCTCTGCTTCAGCTTGTGCTTCTTGCTTCAGCAAGATGCTGTTGATGCTGTTCGCCTTCGCCATTGCATAGATGCACCATAACAGCAGCAGCATTTTCCTTGCTCCTTGGAAATCCATTTCTGATAACTCCAACAAGTACAGGTATTCCAACAAGTACAGGGTGGCCTGAGAGGATTGCCAATATTGCAAGGGCCTCATCAACCATCCCACATTCAGTCTCCATGACAGCGGCAATACCAGAATATATTAGAAATAAGAAAATAATCTACCATC